TTTGTCCTCTTATTTTTGAGTTTGAACTTTTCATGTATTATGGAGATACAAGTTGTCAGCTATCTGTGTGCATGTGTAAACACATACACACTTTTATGTATTCATAATATTCCAGTTTTTATATTTGTCAGATAATATGACTTTTCTAAATGGTGTTTTTAATGAATAGTTGTTAATTTTCATAAGACTGATTTACCATTTTATGTGTTTTATGGTTATTTCTTCCTGTATTCTAAGAAATCTCTGCCTAACGCTGAATTATGGAGATCTTTTGTTTTTGTTTTTTTTTAGAAGTTTTATAGTTTTACCGTTTACATTTTGGTCTCTGTTCTATCTGGGATTAATTTTTGTGTAAGGAGTTGAGGGTCATGGTTTTTCACACGAATATCCAGTTATTCCATCAGGATTGGAGAAGACTTTCCTTTCTCCCTGAATCGTTTTGGTTCCTTTGCCAAAAATCAGTTGACCATGTAATGTGGGGCTATTTTTGGCTTTTCCTATTTTCGTTTTCTTTGGCTGTTGCAAGTTCTTTGTATTTCCATATACATTTTTAGAAAAGGTTTTAGATTTACAGAAAAGTTGAGAAGGTAGTAGCAAGAGTTTCCATATACCCTGTGCTCAGTTTCCTCTGTTATTGATATCATTCATTTTCATAGTGCATTTGTTACAATTAATGAATCACTATCAATGCATTATTATTAACTAAAGTACATTGTTTATCCAGATTTCCTTAGTTTTTACCTAATATCGTTTTCTGTTCCAGAATTCTCAATCCCGTTTTTTTTTTTTTTTAAGATTTTATTTATTTATTTGACAGAGAGAGACACAGCGAGAGAGGGAACACAAGCAGGGGGAATGGGAGGAGAAGCAGGCTTCCCTCGGAGCAGGGAGCCGGATGCGGGGCTTGATCCCAGGACCCTGGGATCATGACCTGAGCCGAAGGCAGACGCTTAACGACTGAGCCACCCAGGCGCCCCTCCCAATCCCATTTTTACCACATTACATTTAGTTGTTATGTCTCCTCAGGCCCCTCTTAGCTGTGACGGTTTATCAGACTTTGGTTTTTGATCACCTTGGTAGTTTTAAGGGACACTGGTTGGATGTTTTGCTGGATCCCTCTCTGTGGGAATTTGATGTTTTTCTCCTGAGTAGAGTTGGGTTATAATTTTTTGAGAAAAGAACACAGGCCAAGTACCATTTTTGTCACATGGCAAGAGTACATACTATGAACATGACTTATTTCATTTGATTATTGATATTGATTTTGATGTTGACCTTGATCACCTGTCTGAGCTAGTGTTTGTGAGGTTTCTCCATGGTCAAGTTACCCTTTTTTCCCCTTTTCTGTACTGTGCCCTTTGGGAGAAAGTCAGTGTGCACAGTGGGGGTTTATGTTCCCCTCCTTGAGGACAGAATATCCACATAAATTTTTTGGAATTCTGCCTGAGAGATTGGACTCTTCTCCCTCATTTATTTATTTATTCAATCACTGATTTTTTTTTTCTGTAAGATTTTGGATTTTTGAGTTGAGACTGTTTATTGGCTCCATATATGATCTATCTTGATGGACATTTCATATGTACCTGGGCCTGGAAAGAGTACTGTTCTATAGTTGTTGGATTTAGTGTCCTAAAAATGTAAATTGTATGAAGTTCATTAATAGTGTTGCTCAGATATTTCTATCCTTACTGATTTTTTTTTAAAATATTTTATTTATTTATTTGACAGAGAGCAAGAGCACAAGCAGGGGAAGCAGCAGAGGGAGGAGAAGCAGGCTCCCTGCTCAGCAGGGCAGATGCTTAACTGACTGAGCCACCCAGGTGTCCCTATCCTTACTGATTTCTTTGCCTCCTTGCTTACTCAGTCCCTGAGAGGCTGTTCACATTTCCAACTATGATTGTACTTGTCTGTTTCCCTCTTCAGTTTTGTTAGTTTTGCTTTGTGTGTCTTCTTACTCTGTTTTTAGAGACCTAAACATTTGATTTTTATATCTTCCTTATGAATTGGCCCTTTTGTCATTGTAAAATGTAAAAATGGCTTCTTTTACATATGGCAGTATTCCTTAACTTGAAGTCTATTTTATATGCTATTAATGTAGCAAGCATGTATTTCGTATGCTTACTTCTTTTTACCATATATATCTGTATGGACTGAACCGTGCCCTCTTCCCTCCTCCCCAAGTTCATACGTTGAAACCCTAGTCCCAACTAACTCAGAATGTGAGTGTATTTGGAGATAGGGCCTTTAAAAGAGGCAGGTAAGTTAAAATGAGGCCAATAGGATGGGCCCTAATCCAGTCTGACTGGAGTCCTTAAATGAAGAGGAAATGGGAACACACTGAGAGACACCAAGAGATGCCTCTTCACAGAGAGAGGACCATGTGCAGACAAGCAAGAAGTCAGCCATCTCTAGGCCAAAGTGAGAGGCCCTGCTGGCATCTTGGTTTTGGACTTCTGGACCCCAGAACTCCAAGAAAATAAATTTTTGTTGTTTAAGCCACCCCAATCTGGTAATTTGTTATGTCAGCCCTAGCAAACTCCTACAGTACCTTTCCATCCATTTCTTACAAGTGCATCTCTTATAGACAACATATAGTTGGATATTTCTATTTAATCCAGTCTAACCACTGCTGCCTTTGGTTGTAGTGTTTCATTTATATATGGTATAATTATTGATATGATTGGATTTAGTCTGTCATGGTTCTGTTGGTCCCATCTGATTTTTGTTCTACTGTTCTTCCTTTTCTGCCTTGAGTATTATTTTTCAGTAATCACTTTTAATATTTCTGTTGGCTTTTGCCAATACTTGTTTGCACTTCCTGCTCATCTCCCAGTTCTGTAGCAGCAGGTCCTTGTAGGGTCTTGCTGAATGTTTCCCTATGCATGAGCAGCCCAGCCCTTGGCCAGAGACCTGCAGCGAATGCGCCTGCAGACTGTGACACGTCCCCTCTGCGTAGCTCTCCTTCCAGCCACCCTGTCCCGCCGCGAAGTCCAGCTGCTTCCTCAGAGCCCCTGCCTGGGTTCCATCTCCTACGTGTAATGAGGACAGAAAGAGATGATCATGGGGACTTGTTGCTTTTCTCCCAAAGATTGTAGTCTGAGGGGCGCCTGGGTGGCTCAGTTGGTTGAGCGACTGCCTTCGGCTCAGGTCATGATCCTGGAGTCCCTGGATCGAGTCCCACATTGGGCTCCTTGCTTGGCGGGGACCCTCTGACCCTCCCCCCTCTCATGTGCTCGCTCTCTCTCTCAAATAAATAAATAAAATCTTTAAAAAAAAAAAAGATTGTAGTCTGAAAACAGTTGCCTCATATATACGTTTTATAGCTCTTTGGCCAGGACAGCATGTGTGGTACCAGTTACTGTCTCATGGATGGAAGTGGAAGCTACGTTAGGCATTAGGTTAGTTAAGATGTGTACAAGTTCTGTATAAACAGTAAGTATCTATACAAATATGTGTAAGGGGTGTGATGCCGTCTTTATCATGCCAGGATTTATATAATTCTATGGACAAGATAAAGATTGGGCTTTAAATACTGGGCATACTGCCTATGGTTAGACCTCTGAAGCTTCTAGCAGCCAGATTATCTAATGTATCATAAAAGTGGTATGTACACATTTTTCTTTTATTTTTCTGACAGAGACACAGCAAGAGAGGGAACATAATCAGGGGGAGTGGGAGAGGGAGAAGCAGGCTTCCGCCGAGCAGGGAGCCTGATGCGGGGCTCAATCCCAGGACCTTGGGATCATGACCCGAGTCGAAGGCAGATGCCCAACTGACTGAGACACCCAGGTGCCCCTTTTTTTTCTTCACTCACCTTCTCCCATCCTCACCCCACTAACTGTGTTGTGTCAAAAGTTTTAAATTTTCCTCTCCTTAGGGAGAACTGTCATGGATGGAAAAAAGAACTCTTCCAAGCCTGTGGAGGGGCAATGTCTATAGGACATCTTTTCTCTCCAGTGTTTAATTCTCCCTCTATAATGGAATGAAGACCTATTTACTCCAATATGGTTATTTTGGTACTGTTCCATTCCTATGGGTTATCAGATTTTAAAGTCCTTTGGGCCAGAAATAAAACAGAACCAACTTATCCCTTCTGCCTTCAGAAATACTACGGAGGGATGAGCCTTGTCAAGCAGAGGCAACGTTAACAACAAAAACAGAAAAGAGAGAACTTTTAAAGCAATAATCTGCCTTTGATAAGTCTTGTTTTATGTGATTAAAGAAATAAGACATTTGACCTCTAGTCCTGTATCTATCCTGATTCCTGTCCCTCACCCTTCTCTGTTGTACGGAGGACTTTGGTACTCAGACTCTTGGATGCAATCAAAAGACAGTCTGGCTTGTCAGAAGGTCATTGGAATACCAGTTAAAGTAGTGAACACTACTAAATTCTTTTACGTTTGTTATGGGAAGAGGCTACTGTCAGGCAGTGAAAAACTAGTCTTGAGCAGATGTAAATTTGAATACAAATGTGTATTTGTATTGTGATGGAAAGGTGTCATCAGGTGTCATAGGCATCTTTGCTTCCTGTGTTTGGGAGTTGCTCAGGTAGAGATTAAAGAAGGAATTCTGGAGGCACCAGCTTGAGAGAGAAGACCTAGGTTCATTATCTTGGGGTCCTGCTACAAAGTCTCACAGGGCAGTAACACTGTGTCTGTGTCAAGTACATCCTAAGTGGTTCACTGGGATACTGACAGGGTTACTTCTGTGGGTATTTTCCAAATACAAAATTCTCTCCTTAAAGAAAACACTCTTGAGCTGCAGTGATCGGAAGTTCAGTACTGATAAAAAATCTTCCTTGTTTTCAGTCGTTCTGTCTGGATTAATCAAAATTGCTGAGTCCATTTATGAATGGCAGACTATTTTAAAATTCTGATGCTCTTTTTCAATTCAATAATGTTGTCTCTGGATTTTCACAATTCTGCCTTCCCATAATCCCTGTCGTTATCATATCTGACATGCTTTCATGTAACACAGAAAGGAAAAGCTAAGAGAAGCTGAGATAAATTTTATTTTTCTTTTAAACAGAAGGAAGAAAAAAAGTGGGGTTACACTTTTATAAATATCTATAAATACTGAGCGATAAGCAAATTTTCCAAATAAATAAATAAATATTGCCACATGCTAAGGAATGTAGGAAATTGTGGGGACTACTCTGGCTCTGCCAAAGGAAGAGCCCCTAATAAATGGTATTGCGTTTATAAGATTACAACCAGTTTTCTGCCAAAGTCCTTTTGGGATTTTACATCTAGTTATCAGTACGGGAGCTTCCAAAAGCTTTTAAACAGTATAATGTCTCCAACAGGAAATGAAAACTGTGGAGATAATATTTGCCATGCACTGCTATATAGTTGTATACATAGTTTTAGTGTTTCAGAATAGGAACCAGACCTTAAAACCATCAGGTGAAAACAGTTTTCCAATGTTTCATAAGTAAAAACGGATCGGTTTCTAAGGCTGGGGGCATGATGGCAGTGGGAAAAAACAAGGTGATGCAAAGAAGCTGTTGTTGAAATCTACTTTGCTTGCTAGCATTCTGCTCTGTGGGCGGCCATCTAAATAGAGGTAGGAACATGGGACCCCCTCATAGAAAGACTCCAAGTCAGGTGGTAAGGCTAGGTAGAGGGAGGTTGAGCATCAGGCCCACCTGGCTGGTGCTCAGCTGTTTGGTAAGTGAGGTTTGGTTTTCTTGGGACCGAAAACTGTCTTCAGTAATGCCCCCAGAATTTGCAAGTGGACAAAGACCCAGGCATGTCAGCCGGGAGTGTTTAACTCCCTCCATAGCCAGCGCTGCAGAGCAGTAAGGAGAGCCAACAGCGTTGTCTTTAGGTAACTCCTACACTTTGGTCCCCTGATTACTGGACTTCTTTTCCTTTGAGTCCTTGATGCCACTTCACTTAGACAGAAGGACACAATCTGCCAGTCCACAGAAAACCGAACCCAGAGCAGTCCCATTGTCTCAAGACTCCCTCCCTGTGACAGTTATCCTGAATGCAGTACTACTCAGCCTGGAAGTAGGCTTCATCAAATGCCTCCAAGGGGAATTTGAATTTATTTCCATTTTAAAAATTTATTTCCATTTCCTAGCAGGGGAGATTTTCATGAGCCGATGCCAAAGCTCTTCCTCTGGCCAAATTCACTAAAGCCCAAGACAGGGCCCATAGACAGCGTTGTATCATGGACCGCTTGGGAACAGGCAGGGTCATTCTTGGCCCTCCAGCTCTGGCTGCATAGAAGGGGAAAGAGCACGGCAAGGGGGGCCCACTCCGTAGGGAGGTTGAATTTTCTAGCTTGGTTTCTTGCCTCAGTTGTCTAAGCATTCCAGTTCCGTTTTGACCAGCCTACTACCAGTCTTTCTGACAGCTCTTCTCCAGAGATGCTCAAGGAAGAGCGAAGCCTTGAGATTCGGACTTTTATCAGTTTGCCCAAGTCAGCTATTAATGCCCTAGTCAAGGTTGCGGACTCAAAAATGCCACCAGGGTCAGGGCAGGTGACACAAACGTAAGGAGCCGCGGAGGCTACTGGTATTGGCTCTTCCCTTCACCTTCCAAGCGGTGAACTCGCTAAACCATTGCTTGGTTGGTAATGCTAGACTGATGAAGAAGAGAGGCACGGGAAGAGAAACTGCCCCGGGTGGTTGGGGGAAGGGTGGTGGTCGTGGTGGGAATCCCTCTCTCCTTAATGAAGGCGAAACTTCTAGTTTATCTTTCTGGGCTTCAAAGTTCGGAAAGGTGGTATAGATGAGGTGGGGAAGGCGGTGAAAGCGCCATGACTCAGGCCTCAAAGGTACCTTCTCGGGGGACCTCGTGGTGCATGGGGAGAAGCCGCTAACTGCGCACTTCACCCCCCACCTTCCCTTTCCCTGGACTGCGGAGGGCGCACGTCCCTCCGAAAAGCTCCGAAAAGTTTCGTTTTCGGAAAGACTGCTGGGAAAGGACTCTCTTCTGGTTTCCCTAGATGAACTTGGGGAAGGGGCGGCACCTGTCCACGCCCATCCCCCCGGCGTGCGCGTTCACCCGGCTGCCTCTGAGCACCCCTAACGGGTCGCTGGCCACCACACTGTTGTCCTCGGCGCTCGGGAGCTCCTGGGAGCAGGAGGCCGGGGGGGGGGTCATGCGGGGCCTGGGCTTCAGCACGTTCAGCGGGTCACGCTCCGTGTCCTCGGCGCTGCGCGTGTGCCGCCGCGGCCTGGGGGTGTTGAAGTGGATGAGGGGGATCTCGTTCCTCCGGGACAGGAACTGGGAGTAGGGCGGCGGGTTGGTGCCCGGCAGGAAGGCCCTCTTGGCCTGGCCCAGGCTGACGAGGAAGCGGTGCTGCGGGGAGTGGTACACATCGTAGCCGTTTTCCAGCGTCCGCTGTCGGAACCTGCAGCTCTCCGGGCTGAAGAGGTGCTGAAAGGGAGAGCGGTGGGGTGGGCGCCGGGCGGACCCCGGCCCCCGTGCCCCGCCCCCCGCCCGCCCCTCCGAGGTGGGGGTGGGGGGACTGGGGCTGGCTTCGTCCTCCGGGGCTCTATCAGGGGGGCGTCCTTAACATCTCGCCGCTGCCTTCTGCGGGGAGTGATCTCTGACCAGTGCTCTCCAAGTCGCCCAAGCAAGGAGCACGGTTGGGGCTTGACCCCACAGCCCCCGCGCCCGCCGGGAGCCCCCCGCCGGCCCTGCACGGGGCTGGCTCGGCTCGGCTGGCCACGGCAGGCAGCACTTGTGTGCAGTTTCTGGAGGGACGGCTAACGTCAGGGGAACCCGGTCCTTCCCGCCTCTGCCTTTGGCTGGAAGTTGGCTTGGGTCTGTCTCCTTGCCTGGAGAAAGGAGGGGGGATGGGGTTTGTAGGGTCAGACATAACTGAGGGTACTCGCACTCAGAGATAATATCGTTTGGGATTTAGGGCCGGGAGCTCTGGCAACAGATGACTAGGTTTGAGCCCTCACTCTGCCACTAACTAGTACTGGGTTTTATTGAACACCTGCTAGGACCTTCACATGTTGTTTCAGTTAATCCTCAGACTCCACGGAGTGTTTTTACAAAAAGATGAGGACTATCTATATGCCTAAATGTGGTCAATAGAGATTTTAATTTAATGCCTATGTTTGTTCCATGGAGAGTTGTCTACTTGTGGCCAGGTACTGTTGTAGGTGCTGGGACAGGGCAGCAAGCTAAGCAGAAAGTCATTGCTGTCATGGTAGTTCTGGTGGGTCTGTCTGGGGGTAAGAGGCTCCTGAGATGAACAGTCCTACTACTGTACGATCTCAAAATCCTTTGGAATATGCCTGCAACCTGTGGTTTGGGAAATCCTTTGCTTACCAATCTGAATGACGGGCGACCACAGTTGGGGCAGAGATCATTCATGAGAGCTTTATTTTTTTTAGTTTTTTTATAAGATTTTATTTATTTGTTTGTTGGAGAGAGAGAGGGAATGAGCACAAGCAGGGGGAGCGGCAGGCAGAGGGAGAGGGAGAAGCAGACTCCCTGCTGAGCAAGGAGCCTGATGTGGGGCTCCATCCCAGGACTCTGGGATCATGACCTGAGCCAAAAGCAGGCGCCCAACTGACTGAGACACCCAGGAGTCCCCATGAGAGATCTTTAACTGGAGGGAGATCCTGACTTTTTCCAGGTGAGGAAACTGAAGTGGAGAGAAATGAGGGGACCAGCCCAAGGTCAAGAAGGTCTAGTAAAAGAATCAGGAAGACACTAATGGCTTTTATTAGAGGACCTACATACAAGGTGTTGTGTAGGTGTTGTGTAGATGGGTGCCCATAGGTGGTCAGACTAGAGGCTAAGAGCCCAGTCCCCCAGAACAAGACTACCTGGGTTCAAACTCCAGCTGTATAAACCTGAGCATCTACTACTTAGATTGACTAAATCACTCCATGAAAACATCACCAAGCACTGCCAATGGAATCTTTATAAGATTTTATGCTCTGGGGAAGAAATGAATTATCTTTATTTTTAAAAATTTTTTATTGTTATGTTAATCATCATACATTACATCATTCGTTTTTGATGTAGTGTTCCATGATTCATTGTTTGTGCATAACACCCAGTGCTCCATGCAGAATGTGCCCTCTTTAATACCCATCACCAGGCTAACCCATCCTCCCACCCCCCTCCCCTCTAGAACCCTCAGTTTGTTTTTCAGAGTCCATCGTCTCTCATGGTTCGTCTCCCCCTCCGATTTCCCCCCTTCAAGAAATGAATTATCTTTAAATGGTGACCAGCTCAAAAAAGAAACTCACGGATCCAAAGATGTTGCCTCTGAAGTCCATACAGAGGTACCTCCTGCTCATCACACCTGTTATCACCACAAAGCCGGCATCCTCTGATCTGATCATCAGGGCACCTATGGAGAAAATCATCCAGGTCAAAAACTGGCTGCACATCCAATTCCTATGTTTGAGCGCTTCCTGAAAACCCACCCCCATGAAACCTCCCTTGATTGATTTTAAGGGCGCTGATGACTTCACTTCACCCTCCCTTGTACTTACTTCTTCAGCTTCATTTCTTCTGATTCTCCCCTCCAAACAACCCCCCCATCCCATCCCCCATTTGCCTCCTACTTCCTCCTCTTGTCTGTATGGAGCACTCTGAACTCCCAGCATTTTTTCTCCTGTGCTGGACACATGTTTCCCTCTCAGCCTGCACTGTCTTTACTTCCCTGGTTGCCTGGCTAATACCTCTTAATACTTGTGGTGGTCATCATGTTCTCGAAAGCCTTCTGGGCTTATGCAATTCTTAAATCTACGCCGAGATGTCCTTCAAGGATCCAGCTTGTGTATAGAGCCTGATGCTCCACCCAGGTATCTGTATGGTAGTCAGTGATCCATCACCCAACACCCATTATGTATCAAGAACACTTTTAGAATTATCTTCTCCTCCCTTCTCTGCTTATCAAAGTCTTCAAGGCCAGGCTCAGATGTGACTTTCTATGAGGACTTTCCTAATCTCCCTAATCAGAACAAATGCCCTCACCTTTATTACAGAGTGTGTTTCATTCACCTGGCCTAAACTAAGTTTACATTATATAGTGCCTCCCCTAGAGTGAGCTTCTTGGGAGCAGAGGGTTTATTTTTCTGTGTCAAAGAGATACCACGGATGCACAGAATTGCTTCTTGGATCTTCATGGCTGCTCTTTGTCCCTTTCTCGCTTGGTGGTGTCCCCTCCAGTGCAGTCCCTCATGGTCTTTCTGTGTCCCCACTCAACAACCAATCTCCAACAAGGGCCTAAACCCCACACATACTACTTACACTTTGAATAACTGATAACTGCCTGCCCTTGTGGGGACTTGCAATTTTGCTAACTGCAGTGCATTGCTCCAAGGACTAAAGTCTAAAGCTTTCTGTTTTGTGGCAAGAGTATCATTCAGCAAGAGTTCCAGCCCAAATGCTGTTTAATTATATGACATTTTCTGCTAAAAATCATTTCTTTAAGTCTTTGGAGTCACTTGCATTTGCTTACCACAGAATTTCCATGTGCATCTCCTTTGGCCTCACAACCCCCTGGCAGGTGTTTGAATTTCTGTTCTAGAAATGTAGTATGGAGAGGTTGAAAATGCCCAGTATTTGTGCCCAGGAAGTGGGGGAGCCTCACGGGATGACTTACATCTAGGTCTCCCCTCTTTACCCTGTGTAGGCTCAACTCAGAGACCTCTGAGGAGAGTAGCAGACAATACCTAGACTCTAGCAGAGCTTCATATGGACTGAAGTTGGAATGATGTGGGACAGAGGGAATGAGGGTAGGAGCAAGCCCAGAAAGAAGGGAAAACAAGAAAGCCAAGGAGAAACATTAATTTGTTTCCAAGTTTAGCTAAGAGTTAGCCTTGAGGGAAGGTTCTGGAAGTGGGGTGGGATATAGGAGGTGCAGAGGATATTTAAATTGCCCCATAATGAGGTCTGTCTATGGGTCTCAAATATATGGCTAAGTCTATGACAAGCCCTGAAAGAAACAAAGGAATGTGTAAAAAATAAGTTTTTATCCTGATGAATTTTCAGTCTAACTAGAAAAAAATTACACATAGTCCCTGTTTTTGGGTGGTTGTGCTTTAGGTACTTTACAGATTTTAAATTCTCAAACAACTGTGATCTGGCTAATCTTATTAGTATTAACATGGGTAGTAGCGGCATCCCAATTTATGTGCAAAGGGAACTAATGCAGGATTCAAACGCAGGACAGCGACTCTAACATCCTCTTCCTCCAACCCAGAAATTAACCTCCAATAAAAGTCATCACCCGCCTGAGGAGACAAAATCAAGTGCCAAGATATATGTCGCAACCGGTGAGAACCCCAAGTCACGCTGCCCCTGAGCAGATCAGGGAAGGGGCACTGAACCAGGAACCAGGGCACTTGGATTCTGGTCCCAGTTATGCGAATTCCTAACTCTGTAGCCTTGGCAAGTCATTGTTCTAGCCTCAGGTTCCTCAGCTGCGTATAGAGAATGACAGTAGCTGGCCTGCCGACTTTACAGGGTTCCGATCAGAATCGAAAGCAATCATGGTTGGAAAAGTTACTTTTTTCAAAAAGCGTTGAGCAAATGGAAGGCATTAGGTAGCATGCGCTGGCCTGCCGTTTATGACGAGCCCAGACTTTGGCAGCCATGCGGGCCTCGTGCTTGGGGTCAATGTGGGCAGTGTGCGAGCCACGTGTGCTGCTGGGCCCCGGGGCCCATCCCAGGAGCAAACAGCCTGGAGGGGAAGAGCGAGCAGCTGTACAAATGACGCACAGCCTTGAGTCAAACCAACGGGAGCCAACAAGAAAGTGCAGAAAATGGAAGAGACAGATTGCCTTCCCTTTGCCTGTGCGGAAGGTGTGTTTTCACAGGCAGGCAGGTTCTAGGGCAGAATCTGGCAGAAGGAAGGCACAACACTGGTTTCTGGAGCGACAACCTGTTGCAGCCTGGTGGGCTTAATGGACTGGCCTGTGATCCCAGAAGAAGCATGGGGTTGGGGTCAAGGTGTCCTGTAGGTTGCCTCGAGCCAGTGTAGTCCTTTAACCTTTGTTTTTCATAGGTAGTGGAATCATTTACCTCGTTTGGTCCTCTTGAAGATGTAATGAGATAATATTTTTATCCATAATAAAAGCACTTTCTAAATGCTAGTAATTTTACTATTGCCACTTGCCTCCACTCTGCTATAAAAGTGGAAAATTATCGGGGCACCCAGGTGCCTCAGTTGGTTGAGCATCCAACTCTTGATTTCGGCTGAGGTCATGATCTCAGGATCCTGGGATTCATGCTCAGGGGGGACTCTGCTTGAGGATTCTCGCCCTCTCCCTCTTCTTCCACCCCTCCCCCCATGCTCTCTCTGTCTCTCTCTCTCTCTCAAATAAATAAATAAATCTTAAAAAAAAAGTAGAAAATTATTGGCTCTGTTCTAGTCTCATGCTGGTAAATGATAAATGAGATGGTAGATGTAAAGTGTTTCAAGCTCCCCAAAAGAAAGATAATATTTTGCAAGATTAAAGAGCCCCAGGATAATTCAGCTTCAAGTAAGGAAAGCGCCAGTGGGGAAAATGGAAGAAGGAAAAATATCAGGATCTTGGACGTGGTATTAACCACGGGTAATAAGCATCTCTTCTGCTGTTTCTATGAAGTAGGGATGGTGGGGAGTGGGAGGGTGGCCTCCTTCATAGTAGGATCGGAGACTGACGTCGGAGAGGCTCTCTGGAAGTGGGGTGGGGTATAGGAGGTGCAGAGGATATCAGTGATGTAAGCCCCAAGGGAGGTTATAGAATCTTACAGGCAGGTAATGTCACAACCGACAACCCAAAGAAGGGTTGGGCACTCAACTATTAATCAAGAACTGACTAAAGCACAATGATCAAATGAATCATATTTCACCAAGAAATGTATAATTAATTAGGAGGGAAAAAACACCACACACCTTCCATCAAGTGTAAGCAAATCTTTCACCAGTCTGTGAATTACTTATGCTACTTATCCACATGCCTCGGTGTTTCCTCTTACCTTTTTTACTGAGTTTTGACCTTTGTGTATACATTTATTTGGATAATACACACAATGACTTATTTTAACAGTATAAAGGGTTATATAAAGTAGGACAAGTAAGTCTCTCCCCACAACATGACCCCCCCGCACCGTTGCCCTCTGCTGGTTTGTGTTAATTTCTAGAGACACAATGCTTAGCTACTATCTACATCTGACAAAACAAAATCATTTCAAAAAAAAAATCTGAAATCATTTCCCTTCATTTTGCTTCTTCTCAATCATTTTAATTCACTTCCAGCTGGTATGAATGCCTTCTCTGAGCCTGATGCTGGTAGATATTTGAGGGAGAAGTTCTACAGCTCAGGCTGCCTGCTTGTAGGCAGAGCATCGCACACTGTACCACACACAGCTCACCACAGCTGGCTCACACTGTCTCTGTCATGCTCCAGGGGACATGTCTTTGAGGGTTCCTTTCAGTGAAAGTTTCTGTTAAATATCCCTTGAATAAAATGAGCAACACTTGGGACACATCAAGTATATCCAGATTTAGTTCAGATTTTTGCCATTAGACTCTAACCTGGTTTCCAAAATGTCGACTCCTGAATCCTACTAGATCCCTTTGAGTTCTGGAACCTGCCTGGTACTTGCAGAGAACTTTGGTCCCTCCTCTCATCTCCTGTCACATCCATTGAGCACTTGGAGAGGCATGCACGGCTGGCTCTGCATGTGCATGTATCTTGCTACAGTTTTTTTTTTTTTTTT